CACCATCACGCTTCAACACCAGTTAGTCGGTGAGCCGCACAGAGACCACCTCCGGACGGTGGGGGGGGCGAACACGTTCGTGGGGGGGGGGGGGGGTTGAGATTACAATCGGTGGGGGGGTCCATACTCGCACAAATCTAGCTGGGGGTATAGAAGGGAGGGGGAGGGGGGGACGCGTGGTTGTTGACTGAGGGGAGGATGGGTCTAAACAGAACCAGTTAGGAAGGATCCTTGGTCTCACCCATGTAAGGACAGGGGACAAGTGTAAGGAGCCATTGGGTGTGTGGCGGGGCCGGTGTCGTTTTTTGTGTGGAGCTAGGAGCAATGGTAGCGTGACACAGCCGTGCAGACCAGCCTGCGCCTGCGCGGGAGGGGAGACGAGACAACCTGTGGGGGGGGGCGGTGCGGGGACGGGCCTGGGAGGCCCGAGGGCGGTGTGGAGAGGCGGTGGCGACTGGGACCCATGCGGGGGGGGCTGGCCCAACTGGCGCTTTTTTGAGGGGGAGGGGGCCGGCGGGTGGACTCTGGTGCGGGGGGCGGGGGCGGGGCAGCCACGGAGCGGCGGGACACTGTGATGCTGGGGCGAGAGGAGGTGGGGAGGGGGGTGGGAGAGGCGCGTGGAGGGCTCGGAGGGGGGTGACCTGGGCGGCGGGCGGCTGGCTGGAGCGCCGACTCGGGGAGTGGAACGTGCCGATGGGGGGGCCGTGGGGCGACTGTTGGGGGGGCACAACGAGGGGCTGAGTCCAGGGAGCTGGGGGGGGGGCGAGGTGGGGATCTTGAGGGCCGGGGGTGAGTGGGAGTTGTGCCGGGGTCCTGCAGATGGACGGTCCTGGGGATTGGGGGTATGCAGGGGGGAGAAAACTGAGCGCGCGGGGCCAGGTGCTAGCTTGAGGGCGAGAAGTGGGTAGTGGTGGGGTCTAGAGGTGGCTTCAGTGGTGCGCTAGGCTGGGCGCTAACTGGGGGTGGCGAGGGGTGGCAGTGGGGGGGGTGTGGGCGGCCGAAATGCACAGACGTCTCCAGAATGCGATCGTTATTACGACGTACGGGAGCGGACTGGGTGTGGGCTACCATGGGTGAGTGCTGGGGGAGCTGGACCTGCGGACTGGGGGTAGCATGGGCGGAGGAGGCGTGTCGGGCTTTCGGGGCCCTTGCCTGGGCGAGGGGGGGGGCTGCCACTGGGGGGGGGAGAGGAGGGGCGGGGGTGTCCGGGACGGCGGAAGACGGCTGGGGAGGCAACACTACAAGGGGAAGTGGGGAGGCCGCAGGATGCTTACAAGGGGGAACACTGAAGCACGTGGGGAAGACAAGGCGGCAGGCAGGGACGTGAAGGGCATAGCCGGGGACCATAGGTTGCACGGCCCCGGCTGGGGGAAGTACTAGGGCAAGATGACAAAGGGTTTGCCTGGAGGTACGGTAGACTCGGGGCGTGCACCGATCCCGGGGGATGGGGGCGGGCTAGGTTGCGGGTCTGGTGGGGGCGGAGGAGGGGGTAGAGTGTGTCGCGGTGAGCAAAAGGGGGGTTCTCAATGGGCACTTTTTGGTGGTTAGATGCGGCGGAGAGACGAGCGCGCGCCCGAACCCTGTATTACGGGGATTGCAGGCGGGGGGAGGTCCGCGACGTGGGGCGGACAGGCGTGGGTGGGGGGGTCCGCGTGGGAGAGGACGAGGTTGATGTCTTTTGGAGGGGGGCAAATGGGTGTTGGTATATCGGAGTGAATTGGGACGGGGAGGGTTGCGCCCTCCTGCCAGGGAGGCGGTACGGTGATAGTAATGAGGGGGGTCCTGGAGACATCCAAAGTGGCAAACCGCGTGGAGACGAGGGCTGGAGACCAGAGGCAGGACCCTCGGGCTGTGGGCCGACGAGGCATGAAGCGGGTGTGGGGTGGGGACGGAGTCCGGTGTATCGGTCGGTGGGTGGGGGGCCCAGCCCGCTGAACGGCGCGGCTATAGGGGCATGGCAAAAGGGGGTTGGTAGCGCATCGTTGAGGTTCGAAACCGACAGGGTCGGCACCGCCATGGGGTGTGTTCGCGACGCGCTCACCGGGGGAGGGGGGGACGTCGTGGTTACTTGCTGGCGGGTGGTGCGGTAGGTGTGCTCGTGTGCCGGTAGGGTAGTTGGGAGAGTTGTGGTCCCCCGTGTCGGCTGGGTGGCGGGGGGCCCTGGCACGGTTAGGGGGGCGAAGGGCGGTGGCAGGGTAGTATACGGGCGGGGCGAGGAAGGGTGCTGGCGGGATCCGGCGAGGGGTGCTAAGGGAGGGGGGAGGGGACGCCGGGGGCGGGGGGGAGTGTAAGGGGCAAGGGGGCACAGTACGAGGAGTGTGAAATTTGAGGAAAGTAAGGATGAACGGGGTTGGGGGGGGACAGGGGGGGGCGGGGGCATAGGGCGCGGGGACACCGCAGAGGCGGGACGATGCACTCATCCACTTACACTTTGTTACTTAACACTATGTCTCCATCCTACACCTGGAGATTTACCCTGGAATTATTTGTTGTTAACTGTGGGTGTTGTGAATCTAAGTGAATCACAGGACTGCAGCGAAGCAAACGATAAGTCCTTATTTTCGTATTTAAAGTGTTAACTATTTTACTATCCTTTTCATCATAATTATTATGTTGATTTCCCTACCAACTATCCAACGGGGCTTGTAAAGCAACGCTTCTTTTACCCGTATAAATTCATTGTTCATTGTTCATTGTTCAAATACGGCACAGTACAGAAGTTGGAGTCGACTGAACCCAACATGTATTGTGCAGGCTACCAAAATAGGAAGCGAATCAACCAGAGCGAGAAACGGCGCAGTAAGATACTCATCAAAACAATTTTGTCAACGGATGTGCAGTCAGTAAAACAAGTGAACGTTTTGAAGGAGGAATCCAATGTTGCAAAATACTGAAAGAGCGCGTCTTCCGGTACACTACCACTTCTTTATGGCCTACCCCAGATGGAAACGAGTTCCAAAGAGACGGTTCCAAGGATGACGGAATTACTTCACCTGATCTTTCTTATTATCAGCTGAAATTCACCCTTCATGAATCATCAATCGAATCCTTGTATTTATTTGACTTGATTATGATACCATCTTTGCCTTGATTCTGTTGTGGCTCCTGTTCTTTGTTTTATTATCATTTATACCTTCGTATTATCTTATCGACATTACCCAGTAGGTCAATACTTAGACCGTATTCTTGATTATACTCGTTGTGACCCTCCTTTCTAGCTTGATGCCAAAATGTTGTGTTAGGTGCATATTTTCCTCATCACCATATGTTCAAGGTTTCGTTCAAGTCTGTGCTTCGCTGATCATGCCTTTATAGGCGTGTCTCGCATTGCCCAGAACAAATGTTTAATTAGTTATTTACTTGGGCAAATGGATACCAGTCGTTATACTCTCTGTTAATGAGTTTGTTCTAAGCGCGATTTCCTAAATTTCTTGCTTCACAACTCAAACAAGAGCATGTAAGGTATTCAGGGCTGCCATTTAACCTCGTTTTGTGCATGATGCTGTAAACCTGCTCACGGTGAGTAACTATCAGACAGCTACTCCGCAAACGTCAAACTTTCACAAAACGCGCACATAGCCTTGTTATCCTCCATTAGTAACTGGACCTTATCGTGCTACTAGGGCAGCTAAGTCACAAGCGATTTGTCTGTTGTCGAAGTGGGAGCGGCCCCAGAGCAAGATAGCCCCAAAACACAAGGGAGTCTATAAGTAAAATGAGCAGGAGGACCCGAGGAAAAAAGCAGATTACGAAATGGAGGTGAACCTGATGAATTTAGCCTTTGTATACAGCATGCATTACTGTTCGTTTACGTGGAGTAAATGATTGGTTGATAGTTGAGTGTCCTCGATGAATTCTGCGTTGCTTGTTTGATAAAGTCGAAGAATGAACTGCGTTGAGTTTTAAGCATAGTTAGTCATGAAAGCGGAGGTTTGGAGGTTCAAACGCACAGAAGTTTCGTTGCTTCCCCTTTGCTGAGTAAATTCCCGGTCCGTGAAAATCCGACTTTTGCCACAGTATATCTCCCACTTGAAATCCTTTAGGCTTACAGTGACAGCTGGCAACCTGATGTCACTCTGGCGGGTGAATTGCGAGTTGCCCATAATCCCTTCGTATATTGCATATCTTGTGAGTGTCCACATATCAGAAACGGCTACCGCCAGCTGTTGCTATTGCTGTAAACGAAGACGCTTTCATGCTCAGCACATCACCTGGTAAGGTTCTTCGGTTACGAATAAACTTGTTACCACTTTTCTCCTGTTGATTACAATGGGCTATCAAGTGTTCAAAAATTAATTGCACCGCTGTTCATGCAGAATGCTCCAGGATGGTTCTCAAGTGTCTTCCTTTAATTACAGGTTTTTAATCTCCACTGTCAACGGAGAAAATCAAATTTTAATCGTAGGCATGCGCGTTAATAAAGCAAGTAAATTAAAAAGATAGAGGTTTAGTGCAAGGGTTAGGCACCACATTTTTGCTCCTACGGAATTTGATCTTTTAGAGGTGCAGTATACTCAATCTTATTGAACCGGAGTCATACCATGATAAATCTGGATTGGGTTAAGATGCTTGTTACACTGCAGACAGAGTTCCAGTATAGATCTTCAGAGCGTATGAGCGTGCAAGCACTGCCAGAAAGCCGGTTACGTTCCATATCTCAAACCGGATTGGTTCCACAGCAACCCAGAAAACACAATGATAATGAACAGCTTGTACGTAGGTGGTAAGGAAGACGTAGTTCCAATGCTGCGATAGGATCCTCAGCGACTTGGTTCCTAAGTTGCTAGCTGATGACGGGCGGCTGGCTGGAGGGCGGGCGTTCCGATTTGCTTAAAGCAAGGCAGTTGTAGGTAAACTATTGCTTTTATGCGTTGGGAAAGTTTACCCAGTACGAAATGTGCTTCCAAGTATGACTTATTCCATTTGGTAAATGTGACTGGTGTTCTACGCACATCTTAAGGTAGCACAGGCTATGCCCTCAACTCCCCGATCGGACTAGGCAGTGAGGTTATAAGACGTTTAGAACTGCACATGGCGCGGAAGCGTAATTTTGACGCCACAACTTTCCACTATCTAGTTCTCGCCAGTTCGACGCACACTGCTGCGCTTGCACTCACTGGACTCTGGTTCATGTGCTCTGTCCAGCGGACCCAGAATTTCAACACACTTTCTCTTACCTCACCTTTTACCAAAACGCCGCAGTTCCAGTGATACTACTGAAAACCACAACCAACTCAGTTTTGTTGGCAGAAATAAACTATTACCGTCGTGCAAGAGTAAACTTCGCGTGCTGTACACCAAGCTCTACGCTATAACAACCTGACATCGTGTGTGATAGCCGCACCCCTTATCCGTAATTCATCGGTCGCTTAAGCTCAGTGACTGTACCCCTGCGTGTTTAAGCCTGCATCCACAACCGCGCCTTGCAATCCTCAGACCGATAGACAATCGTCGCCAACATCGTTCGACCGACGGTCCACGCCTGACACAGAAGAGTAAAAGATGGAACTAGACGGCCAATCAGCGCGCAGTTCTGAGGTTATCAAGTGCACGGAATTTGAACAGTCCGGGGTAGGTGAGGTAGAAAACGGTCGGCTTTTTACTCTTATAACCGATATTCTTTTGCGGTACATGGAGCGGTTTTGTAACATTTTACCCGCATCATTCCTGGCTGTTGACCAAATATAAGTTATTTATAATGCCTGGAAGACGCACATGCTCCAACAGGGTTAATCAGAAAATGCAGCGGCTGCCATATTCCGAAAGCTGTCTAATTTTACCAAGCCATCTGGACAAAGAAAGCGATCTGATAAGCCAATTAATCCATTGATTGATGCACTTACCAAATGCAAGTATGTTTAATATGGTCTGGATGGAATCAAGACGAAGCTGGCATCTGCTGATGGTATGGAGACAACTCTCATAAAACTTGAACTATCAACTGTTCTACTGCAAGCGGCAGTAAGCGCAAATATGGATTATCTATTGTTGTGTCGCCGCTGACACCTTCACCCCACGACCGCAAGAAGAAGTCCAAGACGAGCCAAAAGGAGACTTGTATACATTGAAACCACAGTTGTTTTTATAGTTTTGAGGGCAAAATGAAGGGAAGCTACTAAAGTACACTTGAGCCAACCAACAGAAGGAAAAACGTCAAATGCAACGGCGAATAAGCAACCGTATACTCAAGAGCGAATCGCACATGTCCTTAAAAATAACATCACGGGACTCCAAGCATAAAGCGAACGTCCAATTACAGTGACAGGCACTGGCCAATCAGAATGATGAAATGAAACGCTTAAACAAAAGTCACGAAACAAACGAGAATAAGGAATGCAGACCCAAAAGTTGAAAACTAGTACAATAATTGTGTGACAACGAAATATTCCTTTAACATAATCAAGTAGAACAGTGATGAGAAGAAAAACCAATAGAATATGTCCTTGCAAATGGCGCTGCTGAGAAGGACATGACGATGAGCGTCCATTAACAATGACGTGGATGTACCAATCGGGCTAACCCAGTAGAGCGTTTAAACCACAGTCAAGAAATAGAAAATAGGAAGAGTAAAGAATAGCTATCAAGCTCGTTCACAATAAATGAACGTCTAATAGCTGTTCTTCTAATATCTATAACCGCCACCGCCTTCATTGAAGTAGTTGCAGCAGAAAGATTTAATAGTATAGAAAAGAAAAGAATTCCATTAGCCTTCAATTTGCCAGTTAAACTTTCAATAGCAACACTATAAAAATGTTGCTCAGGAGAGGTGATATGGAAGGCACTCGATGCGACTGTGCAAGACTAACAAGAATGCCTTTGCGCAAAAGCGGTCTTCACTTTTTTAAATCTGTGATGTGTTTACAGGGAACAAGATGGCAGGAAAAACTATCCACAAGACATTGAGGATAATTATCAGCGAAGCGTTCCTGCAAAGGGAAGTGTGTCAAAGTCAGCTTCTGCTTGCTTCCAGAGGTTTTCGTAAAGTTGGTTTCAACAAAGGCACACCACGATTGCTGACAATTTACCTAGGCAGAATTTAAGCACAATGAATCCAGTTAGTCTTAGAATTACATATACTAGCTATAGGGAAGTCAAGGTAAAAGGAGTAGCTCCTCTCTATATCAGTTCGGAGATCAAGCAGACTAAATCACTGACCTAAACCCACATACTCGATGCTGAAACGTCTGAACATGCAACAAAAGCACCTTACACTACTTTAATACACAAAAAATTTAATAAAAGGCTTCCAACTGTCACAATGCCATTGTCAGAACTGGCGCCTCATGGAGTTCGTATGAACATGCGCAAACCTTCAATGTTAGAAAAACTGCCCACCCAAATCCCTGCCTGTTGCATTGCCCATCGGTTGCAGTGTCCCCAATAGTAGATGTCGGTATGCACCATTGAAGCAGCCCATCAA